ATAAATTTTTCAGTTAGCCAATTCATATACGCGATGCTTCAAGAGAACAATGCATTTTGTCATGAACGGGAACGAATTGGCTGAATATAAAAGGCAAGATTAATTCAAATATTATTACAATACCTGCATAAGGAATTCCTGATAAGCGACTGATTTAGTGAGCACTGTGTGCATGATCTCAAAGGCGATTCATGTAGCCGTGTGCACAGATGCGACATTCGTCACGAGCCCTGTGCGAGGTACATTCGTTGACTTGCAACCTAGTTGTGTGTGTGTGTGCTGGTGCACGCGATTATGGCGTGATGGATAACTCATCTATGCCTCATACTCCTGTTAAAATGGTACTCTTGTGTGCAGCCCAGGTGCACTATATCAGCTGAATAAACCCTCCCCCCATCACACACACACACGTACTCCTTCACGGGTGGCACGTCAAGTACTGTCCACTGACGTAGACATACATCATCAATTATTATACCCTAGTCCCTTTTCACTCCGCGGATGTGTGGCTGCGGGAGAGGGGTGGTGGATGAAAAAGGGGAACAATGGTGGTAGAACTTCGGCAACTTTCACTATTAACAATGTGATGCTGTTCTGTCTGGATTGATATGATATCAAACAATGCTCTGCAAAAGATGGAGATTATGTCATAAAAACTGTTTTTTTTTCAGAGTTACGGAGTTAAAGCAGTACTCAGATTCTTTCTAAGTATGCTGTGACAGCCCAAGCACTCGGAGCACAGAAGAGGTAGTTATTGGAACACGCGTATTTCAAGAACTATTACTTGTTGTTAGGTGTCACAAAACAATGAACAACTACGACCCTTTACTTGCAAAAATAAAAGGAGGTCGAACATAATTTGAAACCAAAACTACAGGCGACTGTGGAGGTCATGTTCATTATAGCTGTTTTCCAGTGAGAGTAAACGCATGTAATCTTCTTCGAAAGTAGACAACTGACCAAGGGTCATGCGGGAGGTTGTTCGCCAGATCAGAAACGGATTATCTGGGCAATCCCGGTCGTCTATTCTACACCAGTGATTGTGGATTCACAGTGCACGAATACCTATATCCCTTGCCTAATGAACGTCGCAGCACTACGTTGATAAGTCCATGCGAGAACTTTCACTAGAATCCGCGGATCACTAATGGACTAGGAATTGACTCAAGGCTGAACCCACCAGGAGAATGAATTGCATGAAAGAATCACACGTTAGAATTTTCAATCCTCGTTACCCCTTTTTCCCAGTCGAAGTGATTCGGTCACATGATCAGTGATAGTTGCATCCACCTCGGGTTCGGGCTTATGTTACAAGCAGTTTAGTGGGAAAAGTTGATTAATTTCCGTCCGGTGAGAGCACTCACATGTACAAATTCCTCGATCCGCTTGTTTCCACATCTCAGTTTCCGTCGTACAGTCCAACCTGAGTCTTTGTGATAATTCACACGTTGTATACCGCCAGTTTAACCGTTCATCTGTCCGCCTGGACCTACAAGTAGATAACATTCTTTGTGCTGAATCGAAATATGTGCACTGTTTTGTGGATCTATCGTGCTGCATGACCCATGGACTGCTAGCTGACCTCCACAGAGCGGAGAATGATAAAAGTTAATCTGCTGACGATAAAACCCACTGCTATGTTGAAGACATTCTTTTTGTTTTTAACCTGCTCGAACAGAATCGATTGAGCAGAAAAATACGTTTGTTTCTGAGATTGCAAATTGCTATCTGATTAATAAATAATAAATGTCTTTTTATTTATTCAACATACAAATGTACAGTCAACATTCAGAAAGGGTGGCCGCGGCCATACAAAGGTTGCCTATGAAGACGGGCGGTGGTGGAGTGGTTCGAATCCGGGACTTACAGGTCACAAGTTGGTAACCTGACCACTTGGCCACCACGCTCAAATTTGGCTGCATGATACGTGGCATGCAGTTCTGAGTTTTCAATCAAAACAAAGCTTCTATTTTTCCAATTACGAGTAATCCAATCATTCACAAGCCAGTGTGTAAAGATCCCACAGAAGTAGGTGAACATCTGAAGTGAATTCAAATTCATCAAAACATGTTTGGACTGACCCATTCGGTTTGGCACAAGCACCAGACCCTGTCTATGATCTTCGGTATGGGTTTTACTTCTTGGGAGATCCAACCGGATCGAAACAATGCTTCCTAGCTTTTCATTTCACGCTTCATTTGCTCTATACACGATGAATTCCCTCTATGATATTGAATGAAATCCTCCACTATTGTCATGTAAGATCGTCAATTCTCCGCCAGTTAAATGCAGGTAAATGCGATAGATATAGTTGTGCTGACCGAAAAATAGCACCTGTTTTTTAACTCGTCCGCGGTGCATATTTATTGTTGTCAGGACTCCAATCGTGCACCTTCGGGTTGGGAGTCTACACTCTTACCCGTGAGCTACACGACCGGCGGTTATCAGGCACTCTTCATTTGTTTAGTAATATCTACTGAACATGAAGCAATTGCTTCTAGTGATACAAATTGTTCAGCAGGGAAGATATTTCTAAGAAAATGGCCAACAAATATATCCAACAATGCACTTGTTTATGAATAAGATGATGTGACTTTCGTGCTTGACGATCTCGAAGAATGGATGCAGTAGAAAAACTTACAGGTGGTCGCGGAATTCGCATGCAATGACACATTATTTTAAATCAGTGACCAATACATGTTTCTGTCTATCCCTTCGGAACAGAATATTAACCTTCCCAGAATTAGAGGAAGAATCATGCTACGCACAAATCACCCCCTGGCGGTTGACAGGGCAAAGTTGAAAGATGCCCGCGCCAAGTCGCTCCAGTTAACCAGAGACAACTAGCTCACAGTGGTTTGCTCACACATGATTTGGTCTATTTTTGGTTGAGGAATTATCAGTTCTTGAACCAGTTATCGTTGTTGTTGTTCCTGCTGTTGCTGTATCCTAATGATTCTTTTTTGCCCGAGTCCTCGCGATGACCTTATACCGTATCATGAACAAATTAATGCCCCACAAACAATGACCCGATTTCTATAGCACAAACTTTATCCCTGGCGGAACAATCTCCAGGAGGGTTGGAAACCGGCTTCCATCATTATCGTCAATCAGAAATCGGAAAACAGACTATTATTTCCTAGAACCTAAATGGGTATGTTTGGGGAGGGGGGGAGGGCTAACTTGGCAGTGGTGGCCCGGTGGGAACGTCACCACGTTATCACCCCGAAGGACGTGTGTTTGAATCCCATCATCACCATCACTCCATTATCTGTGTGCTTCATGCTACCCCTCTGATTGGCTGCTTCCCTTTTTCTGAAAATTATATTTTTGTGTATTTATTTAATAAAAGGAAGTGAAAATGAAAAATACTAGTCAAGAAATATACGAGTGAATTATGGCTATTACGGTGATTTCATCACCGATTGTCACAAATTCCTGGAGTAATCATTCTGAAAACCACTTTTTTCCTTTCCGCTTTTATAGGACTATCCAGTGAAAGGTTATAAGTCAACTCCGTGGAACCACTGGGCTTATCGGAAGTAGGATTGAAAACAGTGTACCCAACATCGATCAGCATTTTTATTCGAGGATGCACCTCTGGCAAATGTATGGGCGACCAGAGAGACACCAGGGTTATTCCAGACAAGACGGTAACCGGCAGTTTGGCTCATTTGTCTCCTCTGAAAAGATTTTGCCCGTAGGTGAGACGGATAAAAACAATGGCCTTATTGTTGGT